ATTCTTTTTAACAATTGACCTTATAGCAAAGCATGGCATTTAATTTTGAATAACCTGATACCCACATTAAACATACAGCCCAGTGTCCACGTTGGGAAGCCTCACACCATCCTATGTTTTTTATTCACATAAGTGTTAAGTAAACAGAAACTCAATAAGAGAAAATGCTATGTAAGTTATATTTAACTAAAATCTTGCTGTAGTGCATGATGCCCTGACTAGTTAGGAAGGAGGCTCTGCCACTCATCCCCTCCTCTGCGGTGGCATGTGCCTACCCAGCAGTGTTCTGTAGTAATGAGAACCCTGTCCTAAGGTCAGGAGCACGCACTGAGGGCTTCAGTCACTTCACCAGAATGGGGACAGTACTCGCTGTTCTGCAGAGCCTCCACAAAGCAGGGAAATTTCCACTTCCAAACCTCCATTTGGTTCGGAATTTAATGGCTTGGGCTTAGCAGAACCACAGTCCTTCCCTTTCTTCCTAATCGCTTATGTGTTTGTGACGTCTTAAACTGCTGCGGTTTACAGTTAACCCTCTAATACAAACACACCTTTTCCAATGGTACAGCTAATGTTGCTTCCCTGAACACTGCTCTTCACGAGCACAAGAGGGAAGTGGGTTCACATCAGAGTTAGAAAACTCAGGCATTCGTTCCCCAGGACAGCTCGGACAGCCCGGACAGCTCGGACAGCTCGGACAGCTCGTTAGGAAGGGCTTATGTGTGGAAATAGGCCGACTGTCCTCACTAGGATCAAGTGAGGAAACCCAATTTCCTTTACCACCACCCCCAAAAGGCAAAAGGACTCTCTACCTTGGGCATGAGGGGAAGTTCAATATCTCCGTCTCTTTTGAGATGTGCAGCCAGCCTGAGATCCCAATTAAGGTAACCAGATTTCTGAAGTGAGACCCTGGCTTTAGTGCAGGTCACCATGGTGGTCAGATTGCTCATGACCCATTCAGCACAAGCTTCACATCACAAATGTGTGTTGTAATTAAAAACAAACAAACAAAAACCCTGAGAGAGAGAGAGAGAGAGAGAGAGAGAGAGAGAGAGAGAGAGAGAGCGCATGTGACAAAGTTCAAGCTGAGGAGTTTTTTATATAAAGGAAGAAGATTGTAAAAAGGGGAAAGGGGAGGGGGAGACTGGCCTCTGGGAGAGAGGAAAGAGAGGCGGAGGGGGAGGGACCCTGACAGATAGAGGGAAAGAAAGAAGAAAGAGAAGGGAGGTGGGCAGGGCCCTTTTAAAAGGGAACATAGTGAATGTGCACAAGTGGTGTTCTTAGTGGCAGCAGCTGAGGGCGTACCCTGTCAGAACTCCAAAGGCAGGCGAGTACAAATGACTAAATACTAACAGGTGTGGCTGACAGGTTTTGCTGCAGTGATGGGGGTGTGTGCTGCTGACTGTCACAAGGTGACAGGAGAGGTCTTGCTGGAGGAGGGAGCTGAGTGAGGCTACAGTTGTATTGTGCCATGTTCAGACAACAGGACTCAGCCAACCCCCCCTCTCTCTGTGCTGAGGAACTCAGTGGGTCACCATTGAAGCCATACTCTAGAAGTATGCTCCAAAAGTTATATTGGGGTCATGTCTGTTGGTAGTAAGGGTGATATAGCCATTAAGAGCTCACCAAGCATGCTTTGGGAAGTAGCTGAGTTTCCTTTTCCTGAGTGAGTAGGAACTAGAGTCAGCTCCATCCCAGGCCCCCTGACCAGAGACAGGTCCAGAGACAGGTCCCATGGATGTAGGCTAGACTATATCACTGCCTTAGCATAGCTTCACCATGGAGACTCTGTTAGTTATGGACATAGTAAAATGTTCACTTACCAAACATTCCTTCAGGGCTTGGGACCTTTAAATGGCCAGTCCCAAGCTACCTTTTTTCTGTTTTTTGTTTTGTTTTGTTTGAGACAGGTTTCTCTGTAGCTTTGGAGCCTGTCCTGGAACTAGCTCTGCAGACCAGGCTGGCCGAGAACTCACAGAGATCTGCCTGCCTCTGCCTCCTGAGTGCTGGGATTAAAGGCATGTGCCACAACCACCTGGCTCCAAGTTTCCCTTTTAGAGTCTTCTGTTGCTTTGTCGTCCCCCCCCCCAGCTGTGAAGCCAGGAAACCAGGTATTTCTGAAGTCACTTTCCAAGTCAGAAGATATTCTAAAGGTGACACTTGGTCTGCTGTCCCTCAAGAATGGACTGACCAGGAAAGCCTGCTTCACTTTTCTCTCATACATTGATGCTTCCAGACATTCCCACAAGAGATGCGTGGTGTGTCCAGCTTCTGACTTGACCCCTCTTCAGTAGCTAAGCCCACAGGAAAAGCTCTACAGTCGTGGGGTGCTGGGACAGCCATCTGCCTTCTGTTGGCTGTCACCCTCACACCCTCATTGCTGTGGGCCAATGAGTCCTCCTGTTCCCTGGACTGACAGCTGGATAGAGGCTTCTCATGGAGGTCATAGGTCAACTAGAGGACATCATGTCCTGTACCCTCCTTGGAGTCCTCTGACCCATGTGCCTGGTGAACAAGGCTTCAGGTTCCCAAACTTACCTAGCATAACCTCTCCTGAGGATCTCAGTTTAGTGCCATGGGCAGAGAGAACATGCTAAGTGAAACAGATCTGGCATGGAGGGAACCAAATGTCTCTATGATAAATGTCAGTGGCAAAGTGGCTGGAGGAACTGGGTGTGTGTGGGAGTGATGCGTAATACATACTTCTATGTTACTATGTCCCTATGACAAAATACCTGTCAAAAAACTTAAGGGGTGAAGGATTTTAGGGCTTGCTGCTTAAAGACCTATACCATGGTCTAGGTATGACAGCTGGGGCTTCATCTATGAGGGTGAGAGCCTACCCAGGGTTTGGTATATCAGAAAGAAAAAAAGTAGGTGGGAATGATATGGTTATAACTCTCAAGCCATAGCCCCAGCTCCGAAACACACATTATCCAGGATATCAATGAATGTAGCCAAAATCATATTCATAACTTAAAACACGAGGGGATATTTTTTTTTAGCAGTAGGTTAAATTGACCACACAGGTGTAAACAGATATTTTCTGTTCCAACCACCTTGTTCCAAATAACTGACTCTGAGGCTTATATTAATTGCAAATGCTTGGCCAATAGCTCAGGCTTATTACTAACTAGCTCTTACAATTTAAATTAACACATTTTCCTTATTTATGCTCTGCCGTGTAGCAGTACCTTTGTTAATATTGTACATTCATCTTCTGCTCCCTTTGTGTCTGGCTGATGACTACTCTGACTTGACCCTTCTTCCCATCATCCTTAGTTTGGTCACTCAACCTACATTTCCTAGCTGGCTACTGGTCAATCAGCGTTTTATTATTTCAATTCAAGTGACCAGAGGATCATTCCACATCACACAAGTCTCCAGCAGGAACATTGAAGATGGCAACAACCTGTTACAATGTTAAAAGGGTGGGTATGCCTGATACTTCAGGGATACAAAGACAGACTTCTCCAACAGCACCACTAGCTGGGAACCATGTGTTCAAACATAAGCCTGTGAGGGACAGGTCACATTCAACCTATAACAGCATTTACATAAGTGTGTGTGTGTGTGTGTGTGTGTGTGTGTGTGTGTGTGTGTGTGATGAGATGTTCAAGGAAAGTACCTGAATGTTACTTATTGCCTTGGGGAAGCAAGGACTTTGTCTACATTAGTGGCAGCTGGAGCTTTTCTCACTCATACTCTTCAGAGGGCTAGAGTACAACTGACCACACTGACTTGCCCTGGAATCCCCTCCAGCAAGGCAGGGATTCAAACACCAGTGCTTGCCAGTGCAGGAGAACTCTGTCTTCTATTCTGCAGGGCCCTGACAGCCTTTCACACCCCTGCAGCTTTGCCTTGCTTTTCCTTTGCCCCCTTAATGCTATTTGGCAACTAGCTCCCTGAGGAAGAGACCTGGTCCCAATAATGACTACAGGGGTGACAAGTGGAGGAGCCCCATGATCAGATCCTTGACTGATTTCAACTATTTGACATATATTTGTTGTCATTTAATAAAATTGTTGTCCAGAAAAGCCGAGGGAGACTGCCAACACATTAATATCGTTAACAAGGTTTTGTAGCCACACAGTGCTTCCTCAACACACAGTCTTGGTTCTAAATGTACTTCTACTAACTTAAAACATGACATTGATAGCTAATGATGTCCAACTTATACAACTAGCCATGTATTGGGTTTACTTTTCTGTGGCCATAGCCTCTTTTGGTGCCACATATTGCCTGAACTGGGCTCTTCTTAGTCTTGTGCCAGAAGGGCGACAGTAATTATGCATTTTCTCTCCACCAAACTCCAGTGCTAATCAGATATTTGGCCACCAGACAGAATACTAACTGCTTCTGATGGAGGGGCTGGGGTAAAACCATTCCACTCAATGATAAAACTCAAATCTCCCTGCTTTCCTTCTGTGAACAGGAGCAAGAATATGGAGAGTGGTGGGGAACCATGACATTCCACAAATGAAGATGACAAATGAAGGTGGCCTGGGATACACACCGGAACTGCCTTTCCAGACACCCACCCATAGGTGGAGTGGTTCCCTAGGTGGACAGTGTAGGTGCAGAGCTGCCACCCAGGACTCAGACACACACCTCAGCTGAACTCTGGGCTGCACAGCTGGAGACTAAACCAGAGCTGAAGCCAAGGATTTAAATGTGCTCACAGCCCCTAGAGGATTTGCTGGTCCTGGGGCTACAGCATTGTGAGGCAAGGTGACGCAGTGGGTTCACAGAGTCAAATGAAGGCCATGCCATGGTGGACCAGATGCATTTAACCTCAGTTCTGCAGAGGAGTTGTACAAGAGAGCCACAGCTCAGGGCTGTGGGACATGCAAACTGCAACAAAACCTTGGCACCAAGCTGGCTGGTTCACCTCCATCCCAACGGATACAGCCAGAGTTGATCCTGCAGTTCAAAAGTTCAGTGGGAGTTAGGCGCGGCCTCCTCACAGGAGAGGAGAGTGGGAAGGGCAAGGTGGGAGTGGCGTGTACGGGGGTAGGGTGGGGTGGGGTGGACATATGTGAAATCTGATCTGGTGCCAAGGAAAGGGTGTGCTGCCAAAGACCCCAGGGCAAGGAACTCTCAGCCTCCACACCAGGCATGTGTGATTCCTGAGGTGGCAGAGGCTGCACACAACCACAACCCACTCATGGAGAACTCTGTGGCGCCTTTCGTTCTCTACCCGGGGACTGAGCCCGGGACTCCGGGAGAGGACAGCCTGCCGCTGCCAGCCGAGGAGGAGGGCGCTGCGTCCCAGGCGCAGACACCCTGCAGTCTCAGCACCTCGCTGTGCTTCAGCTCCGGGGACGACTCCCCTCCGCAGTCTCGTGCCTCTGCGGCTGAGGGCGCCCAGGCCTCTCCTCCTCATCGCAGCGACTTGTGCGTGGTGGAGACGCAGTGGGAAGTCAGCAGCGCCGCGTCCCCGGAGACCCCGGAAGAGTGCGCGCGCCCGGAAGAGTCCGCATCGCCGGAGGAGCCCCCTTCCCCCCACGAGGATGCGCGTCCTGTGGAGTCTCTAGACGAGCTCGGGGAGCCCGTGCCGGTGCCACCCGGAGTCGGATCCGCGCACGGAGAACCCGACCTCGTCATCGAGGTGGCCGGTCGCCGGCTGCGGGCACACAAGGCAGTGCTGGCAGCGCGCAGCGACTACTTCCGCGCGCGCGCGTCACGGGACGTGCTGCGGGTGCAAGGAGTGAGTTTCACGGCTCTGCGGCTGCTGCTGGCAGACGCATACAGTGGGTGCATGGCGGGTGTGCGGCCAGACAACGTGGCCGAGGTGGTGGCCGGCGCGCGCCGCCTCCAGCTGCCCGGCGCTGCGCAGCGCGCCACCGATGCCATGGCGCCGCATCTGAGCCTGGACAACTGCTACGAGGTGCTGAGCGCCGGCAAGCGGCAGCGGCTGAGCGAGCTGCGCGACGCCGCCTACCGCTTCATGAGCGACCATTACCTGGAAGTGCTGCGCGAGCCCGCCGTCTTCGGCCGCCTGTCCGGTGCCGAGCGCGATCTGCTGCTGCGGCGCCGCCTGGGTTCGGGCCGCGCCTGCCTGCTGGCCGCTGCGCTCGGACCAACCGGGGAGCGCGCGGGCAGCCGTCCACAGAGCCCGTCCGGGGACGCCGAGTCGCGCGGGGACGCGGCCGTTTATTGCTACCAGGCCGAAGCGGGAGAGTGGCGCGAGCTGACACGGCTGCCCGAGGGTGCGCCAACTCGCGGTTGCGGCCTCTGCGTACTCTTTAACTACCTCTTCGTGGCGGGCGGTGTGGCTCCTGCGGGTCCTGATGGCCGCGCGCGCCCGTCGGACCAGGTGTTTTGCTACAACCCGGCCACCGACTGCTGGAGTACCGTGCGGCCGCTGCGCCAGGCGCGCTCTCAGGTGCAGCTGCTGGCCCTGGACGGCCACCTGTACGCTGTGGGCGGCGAGTGCCTGCTCAGCGTGGAGCGCTATGACCCGCGAGCGGACCGCTGGACCGCGGTGGCCCCGCTGCCCCGGGGCGCCTTCGCAGTGGCCCATGAGGCTGCCACCTGCAACGGCGAGATCTACGTGTCCGGAGGCTCGCTGTTCTACCGCTTGCTGAAGTACGACCCTCGGCGCGATGAGTGGCAGGAGTGCCCTTGTAGCAGTAGCCGAGAGCGCTCTGCTGACATGGTGGCCCTCGACGGCTTCCTCTATCGCTTTGACCTGTGCGGGAGCCGCGGTGATGCTCAGGCTGCGGTCAGCACAGGTGGCGGGGTTAGCGTCTTCCGCTACCATTGCCTGGCCAAGCAATGGAACCAGTGTGCTGTGCACCTGCGCCCTCCAGGCGCACCATCAGGCCTGCAGCCCTTCCGCTGCGCTGCCCTAGACCGTACCATCTACTGTGTGAGCCGCGCGGGGACCTGGCGCTATGTGCCTTCGCAGGACACTGAGGCTGGCGGCGAAATGGGACCTGGTGGCAGCTTTGAGCCCGAGCCCCTGGGGTCCCCTCTGGATGTCCGTGGTGTACTGTTTCCATTTGTGCTCAACCTGCCTGAGAAACAAGACCACGGGGAGCAGGGTGCAGCCTAGGACAGGATCAGCTGGGCAACTCCACTGTCCAGCTGCTGGGGGGGGGGGTTGAAAGAGAGTGGATTAGGGCCCCCCTCAGAGGGCAAAGAGGGCGCAGGAAATGAGGGACCTATGCATAGGCCAGGCTGCTGGCCACAATCCATCATGCCAACACTTTAAGGCTTCGCTGATTCAGAAGACATTTTTGCTATGCTGTTTTGAGCCCCGCTTTGCAGTGCTGGATTCTCTTGTTGCTTCACTTGTTTAGTGTCGTTCATGGCATAAAGTTTGGGAAGATGCAGATAACCCGATGCCTAAGGGAAGAGGTAGAGGCCACAGATGAAGTTGGATGCAGGGATGGACAGGAGGTGTAATAAGGGGCCTGCCCGGTCCCTTCTGAGTGACTGCAAGGTTCTCAAGCCTGAATGGGGTCCTAAAATAGGTCAGGCATCAATACAACTGTAGAGGGAAGGTCACATCCAACACTGAAATTTAAAACCGTAACTTACAAGACCTGAAAAGTTCACTGTGTGATGCATAACTTCAAAAAGAGTAATGTATCAAGTACCCAAGATGAAGCTTTGTTGGCCAGTATGGTTTCTAGTCCCAAACATACTGTGCCCAACCACAGACACACAACCAGGCAATCATGGAGAGGATATTATTAGTGGGAATGATCATTTGTCCTTGCTTATATTTGAAGTCTTTGGTGATGAAATGCTATCAGGCAGCATGGTAAACAGGAAAGCATGGCGTCAGCAAGCGGGGGCTTCTTATTGAAAGGACCCTGGGATGGCAGGCTCTGCATGCTCACCCGTTTTCCTGTTTTAGAATGAACTAGGGCAAGCTTTCCTCCCTAAAACAAGTTAAAGCCATGTGTTGGCAGTTGCTCCCTGTGAATTCTATTCTTGCTTATGTTTTGAACATGTCTTCCGTGATTCTGATGATGAGATGAAGTGACTACCATCTCCCAGAAAGTGTGGGGGAGTGTTATGCTAAGTAGTAGGACAAGGGGAAACACATGTGTTTTAATGTAGTTTAGCAAGGAAGTGACATTTACCTGACTTCTGAAATACCCTAATAGAGTTAGAAGGAGACTCATTCTTAAACAAGGTTGCAGGGTCCCAAACCAAATCAGTTTGTCTTCTGTTGTGCATTAGGATGTTGTACATTTTGACTGTACATAGGTGAGGCTTCCTACTTATTAAGAAGGACAAAAGTGCATGCCCCCCCCCAAAAAAAACTGGTTCAGATTCCATATCTAGCCCATTGTTTTATTGCAACGGGGTCCCTACACATTGAGAGCTTCTAGAACAGAGTTAGAGGAAGCTCCACATACACCATGTCATCTCCATAGAAGCCAGTGGTTCTCGGGGAATCTGGTTAGGCTTCAGAGTTTGCTCTCAAAGGTCACAGTGAAGTGTGTTTAGAAACAACCAGCTTGGTTATCCTGCATGACCTAGGGAAATGGAGTTTACAGTTAACGTTTGTGTGTTCCAGTCCCTTTGTGTTTGCTCGTGATTACTCATAAACCAAGGAATTGTCTTGGCAGCTTGGTTAATCATCTTGGGAAAGAAAAACAGACATCTTAGTGCCTGGTTTTTATTGGTTCTTCTCAGGGTGTCCTGGAGAAAGGGTTGATGATGAGCAAAGTGAAACTATGTCTTAGAGGCATGTATCTTTTATGTTGTAGCACTTTTTTTTAAACTCCAGAATTTCATTTCTACTGCTAGCACTTTCACATGAAATAGGCCCTTGTTTTCATTCCTTTAAGAACTGAACTTATAAAATACTGTTTTGTGGCTTTTGCCCAAGAAGTCATTTCTCTGATGTTCACTTTTGAAATCCGGCCTCTTGAGTGACCTGTGTCTGGAGAGGACAGATATACACCAGACAGAGGAGCCTTCCTGTGGGGACAGCATGATAGTGTGCCCCCACAGAACACAAACAAAATCTAAGGAAGCCAAAACAGTAGATGTGTTAATTTGTGAAAGGAATGCACTAATCACGAGTAGATGTGTGGCCAACCTTTTTGTTTTTGTTTTGTTTTGTTTTGTTTTGTTTTGGAGAACATATAAAATATTTTGTATCCTGTTTCTGAATAGTGACCCCATATGGAAACAAACGCTATAGGCCCTGGCACTTCTTAGCAACCATGCACTTTGTTATTGGGCTCTGGAAGATTTGCCACCCATCTGTCTTAGATTCATTTCATGTTGACATAAAGAACTTAAGGAACAGGGTTTATTCTGGCTCAGAGTTCATATTGTGGCGTTCACAGAGCAGGACCTTGAGGGAGCAGGTTATATTGATCTGTGTAAGGAGTACGGTTTTTCCGCCCGCCGCCACTCTTGTCCCAACGCCGCGGAAAAACCGTACTCATTACAGATCTGCATGCAATCAAGAGATAGCATTTACTGCGTATTACCTCCCAGCTTTCTTTTTTCATGTATACATCCCAGGATCCAGTCAGGAAGTGGTGTGACCCACAGTGAATAGCTCTTTCCATTTTAATCACTGCAATCAAGGTAACTCCTAACAGCCATGCCTAGAGGCCCACCTTCCAGGTGATGCTAGATCCTGTCAGTTTACACTAACTTTTGTGCCCCCCACACCCCAACAAACAGAAGTGAACCCTGTAAGGTATTGGTTTGATAGTGAGGGGAGCAGGCATAGCTGATCTGTGCTGGCAGTGTGTAAACTATGATAGGTCCATCATGTTATGTTCTACATGCTGGTCACTCTGCATCTAACTCCACCTAGAAGGGTGGTCAGTGTGAGCACAGATCTGACTATCAGTTAAAAGAGTCAAATAAGGCCAATGAGTTTGTGATGCCCATTCACAATCTCAGGACATTAAACCTTGCATGCTGACACCCCAAGCATTTGAAAGAACAGTGCTGCCTTAAGGGGAATAATGATTGACAGGCAAAGGACCGACCTTTTGTTTGGTTGATGGGTAATTACATTTGTATTGCCAGGGTTCATCTGGGATCCTAGGCAACGAGCTAAGGTTTCTTGGTTTTCTCTTTGTTTTGTACTTTGGCATGGGACAAGCCCCATCTCTGGCTCTGGTGCAGACTCTTGGCAGCTTCCTGGACTTGGAATGTGGTGACCCGGTTTCTATGGAAAGGGTGGCAGGAGTTTCTTTTACTCTAAGAAAATGAATGTCATGGATATTTTGTTGGCCACTTAGTCTCTTACCTGTAATTGCTTTTGCTGTGTTGACAAGAATAAATGAGCATTGATCTCTAGCAATTGTGCCGGTGACTGTGCGAGCTGTTAGCCAACTTTGTCCTCTGTTGAAACTGAATGCCTTTGAGGGCTCCTCTGAAGTCAAGGTGAGTCAGGACATGGCCATCCGGAACATCTTGGTGGCCTGTGGGAGCCAAAGTGCTCTTTAGCTTTGTGTTTCAGTTTAAGTGCCTTCCGTAACTTACAGATAGCTTTCGTCTTGAGTCCCAAGAACTTTAAATGTCCCCATTTCTTCCGTGATACTATTCACAGGAAGTAATGGCCCAAGCTAAAAGGGGAACTGCACCAGCACTATAGCTGCATCTGTATTTATCCAAGCGACCATGTCACTCACGCTCTGTCTACATCCACGAAGAAGGCTGGACTGTGCGATGCTGAAGAACCTGGCAGAAAACTGTCTCTGGCAGCAGCTTCACATGGCTTTGTGGACAGCTTTGGGTTGAAGTAGAAGTCTAGGTGTATTCTAATGTGAGATTACAGTCCCTGCTCCCACCCCATGCCCAGTAGATCTCTCACCAGAACTTACTAACTAGCACTCACACGCTGCCACTTAGTGAAGATCTGCGCCTGTTCAAGGGATGTGTAGTTACTGTGATAACGCTTGAGTTTTATCCTCTGCATAAATACTGTAAAACACTTTGTGTTTGTCTGTCACCTGTGCCAAGACAAAATAAACCATGTGCCAGTGCTTCTGGAAGTTTGCTGTGCTTGCCTCTCCCTCCGATTTCCAGAATGGCAGGCGAGATGTGCCCCCATAATAACTGTATTCTAATGAGTCTTGAGACACCTGGGTTAGTATCACTGCAGCCAGTTGCCATGGATGCTGAGGTTTCCTCTACTTCTCAGTCAGCCTTGGGTTGTTCATGCCCTCCATCTTTTTACTTGTCCTCATAGCTAGCCAGGCCACAGCCAGGTCCTGCCCTGGAGGCTGGGGTTTTGGAGCCATGAGGGCTCTGTGTGTGATCATAATGTTCATACAGCTTCCAGAACAAGGAGTGGTCACTGCGTGTCATGGGTGGGTAGGAGGGGCTGTGAGTCCAGGACAGAGCGACAGTGGGCCAAGCCAGGCTTTTGCTGTGGCTCCTGTAGGGGAGACAAACAAAGAAAGCAGACTGCTTATTGTTGGCAGGCAGGTATGACTCATTCTGGGTTCTGGGCTTTGGGGGATAGGGTCCTCTCTAACTCCCCGGCTTTGTCTGGCATTTGGGATCCTCTTTGATTCTTTGGCTCTGGGCAGTTCAGAGCATGAGGAGCATAGCTTCACATCTGGAAGTCAAAGAAGGGTGTGGGTGTGTCGGTCTGTCCAAGGGATGTGCTAGCCAAACCCTGTGCTGTTGTTCCTAGGAACTGACTGATTCAGGAAGAGGGGGTGTCTCTTCCTTGCAGCAAGCTCCAGCAAGTCAAAACATCTTAAAACAGAGAATACAAGATATAGTCACACCAGTCAACCACACCTCTTGGAGAGGGTTCATGGGGAACTGGAAATGTCTTGACATTCCCTTTCTCCGTATGAGCACCAACTGATTAGACTGGGATTCCACAGTGTACGATCAGGGGCCTCCTACATTACATGGCCTCTTGACACCCCCAGGAAACTCAAACCAGAACAGGCCCAACAGCTGAGAAGAGGGGATCCCACTGAACAGAGGGGATCCAGGTGAGCTGAGGAGAATCTGAACACAGGACGGGGTGACTCATATGAGCTTGGGACACCCAGATGTATGGATATTGTCTACATGATCTGGGTATGAAGAAGTTTGGAGTTGGCTTTGGAAGGCAACTAAATCAGGTAGGCTTAGCCAATCCTAGA